GAAACAGAGGCAGTGGAATGGACAGAGATCTGTAAATGTAAACGTTGCTAGTCGCTGGGGAGATGTAAACTTATGTTCACCAGGTTGGCTGCAATCAAAAAAGTGGAAAATAACAATTGTTGGCAAGGATGTAGAGAAGCTGGAAACCTCATGCGTTCGCTGGTGGGAATGTGACATGGTAGAGCAGCTGTGGAAACGGTTGGTGTTCCCTCTAAAGTTAACCAGAGAATTACCATATTACCCCACCATTCCCCTTCAGAGTACGTGGTCAAGAGACATGAAAACAACAGGTGTTCAAACATCTTTTTGTTGACTCAAAAAATGACATCACGGAAAATCTTAATTATAAAAATTTTAATGTACACAATATAAAATATATACACGTCTGTGCTCAAAGACTTTGTAATGTAGATTGGGAAGCAAAATGAATGTAATAAAACAAGACTTTCATGGACCAGCAAGATGGTTTAGTGGGCAAAAGGAGCTTCCTGCCACGCTTTGCCACCAGAGTTCTGTCCCCAGGACCTACATGATGGAATGAGAGAAGTAAATCCCACAGTAATCCTCTGGCCTTCATATACACAGTGTGGCACATTGTGCCCAGCCTCCTACACACAAACACACACACACACACACACACACACACACACACACACACACACATGCTTGCCTGGCATGCATGGAGCCCTGGGTTTAATCCCCAGCAACTGAGAGAAGAGGTGGGGAGGGAGTGGGAGAAGGAAGGAATGAAGAAGAAACATCTATGAGAGAAATCTTGATCTGGTAAGGGGCCATCTTGCATCTGTCCTCTTCCTCCCAGCCACATACTCAATGCTGCCCCCTGCATCTGCCACGTTCTCCCTTGCCTGCCTGCCTGCCTGTGTGTCATAAGTCTTTTTCTTTTAACCAGAATGATCCCCCACACACCCCGCTTTCAATTCTTCTCGGCAGGCACTTAGGAGTGAAAATGCTTGGTCACATGGAAATTCTGTGCTTAACTTTGAGAAAACACCACGTGTTCACTATAGAAGCCAACACCATATCACCTGCCCAGCAGACTGCACTGGCAAGTGTGATTTTCTGGGGTTTGTTCCCCCACCACGACCTAGATGACCAGTGTACCTTGTGGTTTGGATTTGCATTTCCGTAATGACTAACTTCAATTACTTTTGAAAGCTCCCTATCTTGTTTTCAAACCGCTGACTTCATTTTCTACGCCTTATACTGCAGCAAGCATTTTCATAGTGTGATCACTGAGATCAACGGTTTGCACATGAACCACCGCTGTTAGATTTGGTCAGAGAGCCACTTTGTCACCGGAAACTCTCTGAGCCTGGCTGAGTACTCCCAAGCACAGGCAAGGGTTTCTTGCTAAAAGATGTTTCTCTGAAAGTTCCCTGGGGAATCTAATATGAAGAGTCAGGACTGAGAGCCACCAATCAAGGGCTAACTAGATCCAAATAGTTGAATCATGAGTGAGTGTTATCTGTGGTACCTTTTTCTGGTCTGTCTCCCCGAAGTTTTATAAACAAAATTTTTAGGAAGTCAGAAATTTATGTTTAAAACAGATGCCTATTTTGTGATTCTTACGATCAGGCCAGTTTAGTAAACTAAAACTAGGTAAGCAAAAAGGATAAATACAGAGGATAGTTTGAAACTAGATAATTTGATTTGCAGGATATGTTCTTACAAGATGATGTCTCCAATTTCTGGCTGAAGGAATGCAGCCCCTTTAGCTACTTATCAGCATCCATACTCTCAGACCATCCATCCTTAATTCTTCGCACTCTGCAAAGTTTAGAATTCAACATGAAGCTCAGAGAGTGTGCGCTGACCCTTCCTGATGTCTCATGTTTGTGTTTGGCTCTTTCTTTCTAGTGATATCAGAACAACCCTCCTGTGAGAGGGAATTTTCCAAATGCAGTTACTACCGATCCAGAATCTCTGAGAAAGGCAGTCAATCTCCCCATTGGAGATGTGGCCCAGAAATATGAAGGGGCTCACTCAAGGCCGCATACCTAACGTGTGGCTAGACATGATTCAACCCGTGTAATTTCAGAGCTGTGGCGCATTCCGCCCCGCTACACTGTTTTAGTGACAACATGGCCTCCGGCCTCCTGATACAGTTCACTGAACAATTTTTTCCTGCTGTGCTCAATAAAATGCTGTAAAATACCTCGAGCTCTTCTGCTTGAAGAAACCCCAGTGTGGCTATCAAGGAGGGGTTGGGAACCTAGAGTTCATTTACAAAGAAGCCAAGGTAAACCTGACAGCACCCAGCTCTGAGGACAGATGGCCATACTTCCCCATACGCCCGCACCCCTACATCCTTTTAGAGCTGAATGGAGCCGGAAGGGGATATCACCTCAGTTCCAGGCGGCAGGAAAGAAGTTGACCTCTGGGAGGGTGGCAGCAGGGGGACAAATGGGAGGGGCACACATGCTCTGAAAAACAACAGTCAGGAAACTTTCCAGCCATGCCGGGCTAGTCCTGTGACCATGGCACACTGGCGAGGGACTCCGGAATGCTATGACGCTTCAAGATGACTCTGCAAGTTGGTCTCGAAGGAGCCCTCAGTGATCAGCACCTGGACCCTGGGAAAACCGTGGCGTTGGGAGAACCGCAGAACAGAAGACTAAATGCACTGCGTATCAGGACAAGTGCCAAGACTGAAGAAGGCTACTCCAAGGAGTCTTCCCCTTGTGGGCTCCTCACAGGACCTTAACTGTGACCAACAATTGTTTCCCCCATAAACCTTCCCCATGCCCCCAAAAGAAAACTCTGTGCTTTCCACACCAATGCCGTGGCGCCTCTCTTCGACTTAGCTGCTGTCCCAAATTCATTCTGTTTAAAATTTCTGGAGCTACTATTAGCCTCTGGATCAATGCCAGCCACTCTGCTTCTCGAGAACCTCAGCAGAGGACACCGAGAGTTTATTCCAGCATTTTGGTAGGACAGTTTCTCTACCCCACAGTGACGGGGACTACTCAGAGACTCCAAAGCAGGAGGAAGAGATGCAGGAAGGAAAGGCACCAAGGAGAAGTGCTCCATCCACAGTACAACAGGCCTGCAGAAAGACTGTAGGAAGTAATGGGCTTCTGTGCTCAGAATGAACATGATAGGCCATGCAGCAGCTAAAGACAGATCTAAACAGGAAAAAAGGGAGGTCTCCAATGAGAGGTCATGTTGAGATTGTCACCAAAGTGTCAGGGAATCTGTTCTTGCAGAGAACCTGGTTTTGGTACCCATCACCCACATCAGCTGGCAGTTGTCAGTAACTCCAGCCCCCAGGGGATCTCATGTCTTCTTCTGGACCCCATGTGAACCTACACTTACATAGGCTCAGCCCTACACACAGCCACACACACACAAACACATAATTTTGAATAAAAATAACACTTTAATTTTTAAAAACAGACTTTTAAACTTATTTATTTATTATTAGGATGTGGGTAGAGGTCAGAGGACAGCTTTGTAAAGTCAGTCCTTTTCCTTCTGCCTGTACAAGGGTTCTAGGGATTGAACTCAGTCACCAGCTTGGGCAGCAGGTGCTTTACTCCCTGAGCCATTTCGCTGGCCCAAGAGTGGACACATCCACAAGGCCAGATGAAGACCACAGGAGCATCTTGTGCACATGGAGGTTCCTGTCTCACAAAGGGCTGCAAAAATGCTTGGAGACCTACCTTCCCATCTTCCTGCCACTCATGACTGGGTCTTGCCTGAAATCTCTGGCTGACTTGCTACCTGCTGCTAATTCCTGTCCTTAACCTCTGTGACCTTTGCCCCCCACATCTGTGTTTCTCACTTCATAGACTGTAGCTATTTCTGCTCTTTCAGTAGAGACGGCTGAGATGCCTTCCTCTCCCAAGGTTCCAGCTGGCTGGACTGGAAGGAAATGGGCTTCCCCCAGGCCCTCTTGCTGTTTACCCCTAGAAGTCGGTGTGACAGGCCACGCTAGCTAGGCAAATCTCCTTTGTCTCATTCAACAGTCATTCATCAGATTTCCTGGGTTCTTACTGTGTGCCAGGTGCCAGAGATACATAAGTGATCAAAACATGGAGGTCAGAACCTTGTCCCAGCGGTCCTGACACTTCAGGATACCCCGAAGTAAGGTCTTCTGTACTCGAAGTCTTAAAAAGATGTGTCTAATACCCAAAGCTAATGAAGAACTCATATGCAAATATATGAGCTCCTGAAAAGTGATAAGACAAAAAGCCCAGTGGAAAATTGACATAATACTTAACAGCTATTCAAATGGCAAAGAAATATGTGGGAAAAGTTCTCAACCTCATTGGCTATCAGGGCAACACAAATGTAAGCCACAGTGAACCACCACTACCCATCCACCAGAATGGCTACAATTGTTTTTGTTGCTGTTTGTTTGTTTGTTTTTAGACAGAGTTTCAGCAGCAGCCGTGGCAGACCTGGAACTCACTCTGTAGACCAGGCTGGCCTTGAACTCATGGAGGTCAGCTTGTCCTGGCCTTTGGGATTGAATAGCTACAATTTCAATCTTTTCAGCTTAATAGTACCAGTATTAATAAGGTTATGAAGCAATAAGACATCACTAGCAAGAATATAAATTAGTAAAAGCACATTAGAGAATCACTTAGTAGCATTTACGAAAGATGAACACTTGCCTGCCCTCTGCTCCATCCTGTTCCCATGTGCAAGTGTAGACTGGGTGTGGGGACACATGTGCTTTTCATCCCAACACGTAAGAGGCAGAGGCACAGGGACACGGACCTCTGGAAGTTCAAGGCAGCCTGACCTAGGTTAGCCAGGGCCACACAGAGAGACCCTGCCACAAAAACAGACAAACAGGAATGTGAGTGCACCCAGTGGCATCCAAATGCCATATAATAATCACATAATAAACTCATGTAATAATCACACCTGGAAACAACTTAAATGTCCATCAACAGATGCAGATCGCATATGCTTGCCTAGTGACATTACACGGCAATAAAGGTGAATTAACTGATGCTATCGCGTGTCTACAGGAGTAAGAGGAACCAGGCACGGACACCACTCATCTCTCCTGAGCGGTTCCATTACATCAAGTCCAAAGGCTGGAGGACAAAGCTAACGGTGTGAGACAGAGGCTCTTAGGGAAGACAGGTGAGGCTGTGACCAGGGGGTTTCTAGGGAGGCAGTGATGATTGAATTCTTCCTCTCAGTGGTGGCTACATGGGCCTGCTCACTGTGTCTCAGCTTGTTCTAAACAACAGGTTTTGTGTGCTTGCCCATATGTTTGGTTTATTCCAACTGAAAGGAGAGACTTTTCAAGCAGATAAAAAGTGAGGGGATTTAGAGAGAGAGAGAGAGAGAGAGAGAGAGAGAGAGAGAGAGATTTTGTATGTAAGTTGTCATTGAGTAAAAGGTTTTAGTCTTTTGGTTTTTTTGAGACAGGGTTTCTCTGTAGCTTTGAAACCTGTCCTAGAACAAGCTCTTGCAGACCACACTGGCCTCAAACTCACAGAGATCCACCTGCCTCTGTCTCCTGAGTGCTGGGGTTAAAGGCATGCTCCACCCACTGCCTGACTAAGTTTTTAGTCTTCTTGAGACAGAATCTCAATTACATAGCCCTGACTATCCTGGCACTCTCTTTGTAGACTACAATGCCCACTCCCAGCCCCGCCTTTTTTGTAGAGATTCTCCTGCCTCTGCCTCCCAAGGGCTAAGATTACCAACCCTCACCACCAGGCTGGGCAGGCACATCAACCAGTCTTAATGTCCCTCCCAATCTATACTCACTACTCACAAGGCTGATCCTTCGGGAGGAGACCTAGTATTGCCCAGTTAAGGACTAACTTCTGTATCCAAACACAGGCTTGGCTTTTAAGAAAAAATTGGGGTTCGACTACAGTGACATTTGCTTTGCTGGATTCTTAAGAAAATGTAGGCCTTTGATGTCCCAGCAGCTGAGCTGAACGCAGGGATGCGGATTGGCAGGTGGGGACAGGATTTATGGACACATATGTCACCATTATCTAAAGGAATGCCTGCTTAGGTTGCTGTAGAGCATGTGCGCCAAAAGCTTGGTTGCCAGCAAGATAATCTCTGCTCCCATCCTCACTCAAAGGTATGCTCAATAACCCCCAAGCTCCTTTCTAGAGGGGAGGGGGGCAGGAAGGAACCACTGGTCACAGGTTCCACCGACAAGAGGGGAAAGCCTGTCAGTGGGAGTTCCTTTATGGCGAGGTCACATCCCCTGCACAAAACATCCCAAAGAGAACTAGTACTGATTTGGGGTTGATGAGGTGGAGACACCCCAGGGAGGAAGTGGCAAAAAAAGGCGAGGGTGAAAACACTCTCCTTCCTCTTTGATCCCACAAGGTGCGTCAGGGAAAATTGGACTTCATTTCGCCCGGGATGGAGCCATCTCTCCCATGGGGCCACGAGTTGGTCAAAGCAAACCTGCTCCTCTCCACCCTTACCTCAGGTGGTGTGTGTGGCCCTAGCTGTGAGTCTAACAAATTTTCCCTCCAGCCTGCCCATCCCCACCCCTTTGAAGGCTGAAACTTTATTAAGGCAGATTCCTTTGGTCAGACGCCCAGAGAGGAACGCGGAACCTGGAGAGAGAGATGACGAGCCCGAGGAAAAGAAACTGTGCCCAAGAAGAAGGTAGGGACTGGGCGCAGGGAAGGAACACGCGATGGCTGCCGGGCACGGGCGATCGCCAGCTGGCCAGCCCACGGGGGTGGTTTCGGGTCTTCCGGAGGCTAGAGGCTCACGACAGAGAGTCAAGATGCAGGGGACATGTGTACAGGCTCGCTCGCCTCGCGAGGCCACGAGAACTCAGGCGCGCACCACCGGCCCGCGCGCCAGAGCACCGCGAGCCCACGCCACCCTCCGACTCCGAGTTCCCGTAGCTCTGCTGCGTTTCTCCCCCCCCCCCCCCCCCCCCCCCCCCGCTCACGGAGCGCGGGAAATAGGCGGGGCCTGGGCGGGGCCCGCCCCTCTTCCTGCCCTGATTGGCTGATGCAGTTGTCCATCCAGAATCTATTTTTTGATGGAGGAGGGGGGTGCCACCCGCTCTGCCCCAGATCACGTTTGCCACCCACAGCCAACCACTCTTGTCCAAGTCCGTGGGCAAGAGGCGATTGGGGGTGAGCGAGCTCGGCACCCCAGGCCCCGTCCGGTCCTCGCCGGCCCGAGGCGGAATATCCTGCACTCCAGGCCACTTCCCCATCGTGGAATCGGAGCAGCGGCCTCGCAGGAAGGCAGAAGCGAAATGTAGCGAGCCGGGTGTCGCGGTTGGACGCTCGCCTTGGCTGGGAGTGTAGCGGGGCACACGCTGGGGCTCGAGGAGGACGGCTGAGGGGGAGGAGTGATGAAAAGAGGGGGTACCCTGCACACCCCGATACCACGGGCCCCTGCTGCCACTCTCCAGGCGCCCTTCATCCCCATCGAGGCGCAGGTCAGTGTTGTTGGGTCTGGGGTTAGGTGGGGGGGAAAGCGGGGACTCTAGCACGCAGCGCCTTTGCAGAGTCTGAGTTGCAGGGAGGCGGCGGAAGCCGGCCAGTTACTCTTCCTTCCCACCCCTGTAGTTGGGGATGCCCAAACAGGTCATTTTGTCCATCCCCTCCAGGGAAGGAAATGGGGCGTCCTAGGGCCCCAGGCCCATCGGTAGTGGCCTTACTGGTGATGTAGTTGAGGGACTGGCCTGCCCCCTTCCTAGCCCCCTTCCAGGTCAAAGTGGCCTGCCAGCGAGATGGGAGGGGTAGTGGTGTCAGGTTTTAACGAACGAACTCAGAAACTTTTCTGGCATGGGCGCTGTGGACTCACAGTGAGGATCTTTGAAAACAACGGTGCTGTGTTTAAGGTGGCTTGGCTGGCGACCGAGTAGATGGAGGACTCATAACTTGGACTCTAGAGTTTGAGTCTGCCTTAACCAAACCGGAGTTGACTAATCGTGAGTGTTGGGAATACTAACAGCCTGTTCATCACACCTGCAAAACCCTCTGGAATTTTTTTTTCTTTTGAGAGCCATGCTGGTGAGATGCAACAAGTTGGAATCAAGGCCGGGGGGGATTCCTTTAAGAAAAGTGGAGCGGGGAAGACAGACACATGATTTGGGAGTGAATGCCTATTAGCTTGTGACTCTTATATTTGCCTTCCTTGGTTTTTCTTTCCTCCTTTTCCACCTTTTACTGATACTTTTGTTTGTTTTTAAGAATTGTGCTCTGTCCAGCTGTTAGGAACTCTCGGGAACTGGGGGAGCCTAGGTAACCGAAATATGTAGGTAGTTTTATTACCCTCTGTCTCTTCAACCTAGTTAACTGCCATGCCCTAGCTGAAGCTCACTCAGCCAAGCATAGAGGAGAGAGAAAAATACAGACAAGAGCCCAGACCAGGGCCAGCCGCTGAGGTCTCTGTAATGCTATTGACTCTCAAGGGCAGAAGTAGGTAGTAAGTAGGCCTCTGGCTCTTGGCCTTGGTCTGGCAGGCTTGCCCTGCCCCGCTGCCTGGTGAGTCCTGCTGGCATTTTCCCTCTTAGGGGGCCAGGGCAATTAGAGGTTTGGGGATGCTTCTCTGGACAGTCAGTCTCCCTGTTTGTCTGCTCTGCCTTTCCACGGCTGTCTTGTGAAAAGTCATTCCCAGAATAGTGACTGGGTAGGGGATTTGTGACTTACCACTAAAGTAAGTAAGATAACTACACTTAACACTGAGTTCTGATCAAGATTTGAGAAGACAACCCCTGAGAACATTTCTGCCCACCCCAGGCGGCTCAGAAGGCAATGCCAAAGTCTCCTACACAGCATCTTCCTGTGGAGTCATGGTTTGCTGTCTGGTGGGGGATTGTTGGGACAAGAACCTATTGGGCCTCCACATGAAGTGGGCAGGACAGCGTAAATTTAGTGGGGGGGGGGGGGGAATAGCAAATAGCCACCTCTGTAACAGACTACATCATGTGCTGGAGATTGTCCTTGTAAGAACTGGTTTTTGCTATGTACTGACATGCTCCTCTCTCTCTCTTTCTCTCTCTCTCTCTCTCTCTCTCTCTCTCTCCCTCTCTCCCTCCCTCTCTCCCTCTCTCCCTCTCTCCCTCTCTCCTTCTCTCCTTCTCTCCCTTCCTCCCACCTAAGGTGTTCCACACAAATTCTTGTGACTTTAAGGACCAGGCAACTGAGAAAGTACAAGATCTTCTCAAGAAGGGAGGAGACCTCTGGGAGAGAGGAGAAAGACAGCAGACATTGTGCTGGGACCAGCTGAGCCCAAGGTGCTGCCAGAAGCTGAAGGCACCCAGCAGGAGTGGGAAGAAGCCCCAGCCCCAGATTGAGGCTGTGTTCTGAACAATCGGAACTCATTTCAGCGTTCACAAGAGAGGGTTGCAATATCAGGCACTCCAGACTCAGGTTGAGCCCTTCTCTTCTGCATGCCCCTGCTCTGAGGAGCTGGCCATTGAGAACCAAAGATTTACCCCCCTACATAGTGCAGAGCTGGGGGTAGGCACCCGCACCCCTAGTGGCAGCTGCTGCGTCTGGAGTGAAGAGTTTGTTTCCTTCCAGCCCCGGGCTGCATTGCTTGATGGGGCTGCCTTTTGGTAGATCAGTTTTTACAGTGCCAGGCAGGAGTGGAGAGCCGTGGGAAGAGGTCCTGCGGCACTCAAGCCTGGGTTCAACCCAAGACTAAGCTCTTTCCCAAGTTAGAGTCGGAGCGAGAAAGAAAAATAAATAATTCTCCCCTCCTCTCCTCCCTGCCTGTCATGTCCTCTAAGCCAGAGCCAAAGGACATCCACCAGCCGAATGGTACTGGCCCTACTCCCTCACCCTGCTCTTCGGATGGCCCTGGGCGAGAGCCCTTGGCTGGGACCTCAGAGTTCCTGGGGCCTGATGGGGCTGGGGTGGAGGTGGTGGTGATTGAGTCTCGAGCTAACGCCAAGGGAGTTCGGGAGGAGGACGCGCTGCTGGAGAATGGGAGCCAGAGCAACGAAAGTGACGACGTCAGCACCGACCGGGGGCCTGCGCCACCCTCGCCGCTCAAGGAGACCTCCTTCTCCATTGGCCTGCAAGTGCTGTTCCCCTTCCTCCTGGCGGGGTTTGGGACTGTGGCAGCTGGCATGGTGCTGGACATTGTTCAGGTAAGACCTGAGGAGGATAGATTCTGCTCGCGAGCCCTCGCTTCCTCGGCCTTCTGGGAAACTTCCTCTTCATCTTGGCGTCAGAAGCAGCCGCTGCTTCCTAGAATACTATTTCCCTTTGGATCACAGCCTTGGCTTCATCCTTGTCTCTGTTACTTTCTACAGAAGCCTCCGAGAAGCCAAGTAGCCCCAGGGAGGTGGTCGGGGCAGTATTGCCTAACAGTAACAGATTAAACTCCAGTTCTCAGGCTGAAAGGAGGAGAGAGGGGCAGGGCTGTTGCTTGCCATGATGCCACAGTGCTGTTGAGATGGCTCTCCCTTCATGTCTGCCTTCTCTTCCCTTCCCCTTATTGGCGGTTTCAAGGATACCCATCATAGAAAGCGCCTTTTCAAGCCTTCTCTTCCCTTCCCCTGCTGGGCAGGAATTTACTCAGCTGTCTTGAGAGTCTCTGATCCAGTGAGAAAGCTCTTAAGGCATTTTGTATTGCTTGTCTTCGTGCATCCTTGGCACGGTCTCTTTGGTGAGTGAGGATGGTTTGGGAATGTGGCGTAAGATCTGAAAAGGCTATAAGTGCTGGGGATGGGAACAAAACATAACCAGACCTGGGTAGAACCGTCTCTCCTCGTCTGTCACGAACCTGCTGTGGGCCCCGGCAACGGGATACAGGGTAGAAGGAACAGTAAGAGTTGGTAGGACCTGGAGCCTGCTGTATTGAGTGTGTTGTGAGTCAGGGCTTACCAAGAGCCTCCAGGTTGGAGAGAGAAAGTCTTGTTTCTAAGTAAAAGTTTTTGAAGCTCAGGGAGGCATACTGTGCTTTCTACCAGTGCTAAGTGCGTCTGTTAATCAGGATATGGCTAGTGGCTGCTAGATACTGGCTCCATCCAAGTACAGAGGCAGGTGTTTTGGCCTGTGTCCATGGAGACCACTCCTCCCCCATCCAGGCTTCCCTCACTATGCTGTCACCCTAAAGGGTATGAAGCTCAGTATCACCTCCCCGTGCTGTAGGGGTCCCCGGGCCCGTCTCGGGGGGGGGGGGGGGTTGGTTGTAGATGCTGTCTAAAATGTGCATGTAGACCCTGAGTCTTCGAAGAGAAGCTTCCAACTTTGGAAGCTAATGAGAAGGATATTTGTAGCTGGCGAGAGTGCCCGGCGCTGGCCGCCTCCCCTCTCCTCAGACCTGTTATTGTTCCTACACGGAGGTTAGGAGGCCAGTCCAGAGCTTGGGACTCCTCCCCTGCTGGTCGCTTTTCTTCCTAGGGCCAAGAGCAGGAGGAGGAGGAAGGAGGAAAGACA